GGTGGAGCCAGGGCCCCCCCACCTCTACCTTCCATGCTTTCTGACCTCCGCGAAATGTGCGGAAGAGTTCATCGAGACCCATGGGAATCTTACGCAGTTCAAGGACACCCACAGGGATCATATCGGAAAAGGGGTGGAATGTTAGGGCTGGAAGGTCCAGAATAATGAGGGGGCTAGGACGAGGATGAATCCGTTCCAGAACGTTATGGAACGCTCTCAGAGCGTTCCGGAACGCTCTGAGAAGGCCGCGGCGTCCGAGACATCCTCCAGAACCGCCGGATCTCAGAGATTCTCGATTCATCCTCGCCCGAATTTGTCCTCGTCCATGCTTCGTCTTATTTGAGCTGGGCGGGAGAGCCGCCGTTGTCTAGACTGGCCCTCCTCCGATCGTCAGCGAGAAGCGGGGGGACGCCACGTGCATCGACGCGCTCCGCGCGCAGACCATCTTCGAGGGCTTCGCCGAGGTTCGAGGAACAAGCACGCGGCATAAGCATACAATGTGGGAGGTCCGCGCGGATTTCTTGGATCGGCGCTGGGCTCCCTTTAGCGGCCTCTCCGGCGTCATGGCGCGCTCCGCGCGCTTTGGGAGGGTGGCCCAGCCGCGCCGATTCAAGAATGCCGCGTGGACCTCCTTCAGTTTATGTTTACGCAGTGGTCCATCCCCCTCATTCTTCTGGACCTTCCGCCCTGACCGTCCGCCCCTTTTTCGACATGATCTATGTAGTATGTGGGGGTCCCTTGAAGTGCGTAAGGCTTCCATGGGTTTCGATGAATTCCTCCGCACCTTCCGCAGAGGTCGGAAGGTAGGGAAGGTGGAGATGGGGGTACGCAGTGCTTTTCTTTCTTTGGAGGTGCTCCGGATCGAGACCGCCCCGGGGCCCCTGAGGCTGCAGGTACTGCAGTCGATCTCGATCCTGATGCAGGACTGCGGCCTGAAGCTGCGGCCGTCCGTGGACTACCTCATCAGCGTCCTCAACCCCCTCTTCGAGTTCCCACCCAGCCTCTCCGAAGAGGAGCCGCTGGCGCAGTTCGTGACCATCCTGAAACGACTGGCCCTGACGCTGAACGGCACGAACGTGCAGCCCCTCCTGGTCCCCGTGCTCGGGCTGGAGGCCGCATGCCCGATGACCCCCGGGCCCAGCGCCGCCGCCAGCGGCACCCACATGTCGGGGGTTGCTAAAGGTGCCCCTGGCCCAAGGTGCTCAGCTCTTCGCTCCAGTTGGGCGCCATTGTGGGGGCCTCCTTGGAGATCCTGGGGGCACCTTTGGCCAGGGACACTTCTAGCAACACCCGAGCGTGCAGATGCCCATGTTCGCCTGCGCCGTGGGCCTCATGGCGCACAGCGACCCGATGGTCCAGACGACGGCCCGCGTCGTGGTCCTGACGGTCCTCCGGCTCGACTGCCCGGGCGTCAGGAGCGCCGTGCAGGAGACCGTTCAGCGCGACCTCGCTCCCCTGGTCGTCAGGATCTCTCGCTGCCCGGTGAAGCTGCGCGAGCTGGTCAGGGGAAGGTGCCAGTGGAGGAGAGACGGCACGCTCCTGAGGCGGTGGAGCGTGGAGATGCACCCGTCTGAGGTTGTCGCGAGTCTTCGCGACAGTGGCCTCAGCGGCCGGTTGCACGACTCGGGGTGCCACTGCGACTGGCAAGACGTCCCCGTGATGTTGTCGTTCCTCCCCTCTGGTGAGCGCGTTCGCTATGAAGGGATCGCAGATGCCGCCGCTGCCCTGGAGGACGCCATGCACCAGGACCTGGAGGTGTTTGCCGAGTTCGTCCAGGAGCTGCTGGACCTGAACGTCCCAGACGTCACCGAGGGCCTGTACAGCGCTGGCCTCCACACTGGACCCCAGGAATCCGCAGAGGGCAACCGTACAACACCACAGGGCCTGACCAGAGCCGCCCTGGGGTCCCAGGATGGTGCATGCGGTCAGGAACGTTGGCTCAGCGTGTCGCTCTGCCGGTCCTGGACCACGATGCTGCGGCGCGATACGCCAACCACGCGCCAGTCTCCAAGCGTTAACGTCCAGAATTTTCCCAAGTCTTCCGCCCCGCGGAGCGGAGCGACATGCTATCCGCTCGCAGGGCACAGCGTGACGCCGGGGCCGCCGCCGCGACATGGCAAGCAAACGTTTCCGGCTGTAGAGCCCCCTGCGCTCGGCCAGGAGGGTGATTTGCACCACGCCGGGGCCCAGGATGGCCCTGGCCAGGGCTGGTGGTGGTGCACCCAGACATGCCTATAGTCTTGATTTGTTGGATACGCGGCCCCCGGCAGTCCCGACCCTTTCACCAGGGCCGGCTTTTCACCGCGAGTTGTTTTCTGACGGTCCCGAGGCCCATCGAGGGACCCCGGAGGCCGGAAGCAGCAACAAAACAGTCCGTCGCGGTTTTTTGTCAGGTAAGGCGCGCCGTCTTGGCTTGCCTATAGGCCTTCCAACGCCAGTTCTAAGCTTTTGCTGCGGTTTGCACGACGTTTGTTTTCGAATTGCTCTGTCTCAGATGGCCTTGTTTGAATCCATCGGTTTCATGATCTAAGAGCATTCATCGTTTTTCTTGTTCCCCAGAGATGCTTTAGCATAAGGGGCTCTGACCTGGCCATAAGAATTGCGATACTCGAGAGAGCGTGATCCACCGCCGCTTTACTTTGGAAAATTCCCCCACCCTCTTCCTCCGGAACCCAGGGTTCCCCCCCCTCCGAAAATTCCCCCCCCCCCCCCCCTGCTGGAACCCTCCACAATTACTCAATATGAATACTACTCTCCCTCTCCCCCCGATGGCGGCCTGAAAGTATTAGACCCCCCCCGCGTACTGTTTTTTGTACACAGGATTCCCGGGAGTTGGGTTTTCGCCTGCGTTTTTTTTCAAAATGCTGCTCTCGCTGAGGCGCCGGCCTCATTTCTGCTCCCGAATCGTTCCGAATCGTGCTCCCGCTGCAGCGTGGGCCTCATTTTCGGATCGGTGTTTGGCCTCCGTCGTTCAGGATGGCGTTCTCGCTCCAGCGCGGGCCTCTTTCTCGCGCCCATCCGCCCGCCACCACCGCGCCGCACCACCACCACCACCAGCACCACCAGCACCACCACCACCACCACCAGCACCAGCACCACCAGCACCACCAGCATCACCACCACCACCACCACCTGCACCACCACCACCACCACCACCACCACCACCACCACCACCACCACCACCACCACCACCACCACGCACACACGCACGCACGCACGCACGCACGCACGCACGCACGCACGCGCACCACCAACCTCTACGCACGCGCGCGCGGAGCCACAGGTCCGCTACAACACTTTTCCGCAGATAGAGAAAATCAGCGCCATGGTAAGGGATGGGAGGGAGGGGTAGGACGTCAGATATGACGCGAGCGCACCTAGCTTGCCCCCCCCCCCCCTCCCCCCCCCACTCCCCCCCCCCCCCCCCCCCCCCCCCGCAAAACCCCCCCCCTCCCCTGACCCCCCCAAAAACCGGGGGGGTCACTACTGGTTCGAACCCCCCCCCTCCCAAAAACCAGGGGTCACTACTGGTTCGAACCCCCCCCCTCCAGAAAACCGGGGGGGGGTCACTACCGGTTCGACCCCCCCCGGGGGGGGTTCGAACCCCCCCCCCCCCTACCGAACCCCCCCCTCGAAAACCGGGGGGGTCACTACCGGTTCGACCCCCCCAACTCCGGAAAACGGTTCGAACCCCCCCCCCCCACGCTCACCGCCAGCAAACGACTCCCGGGTCCCTACCACCGTCCGCACCACATCCCCCACTGCTGTCCCCAGCACCACTGTCCTCACCACCACTGTCCCCACTGTTCCCACCACCGTCCCCACTGTCCCCACCAGTGCCCCCACCACTGTCGCACTGTCCCCACTGTCCCCACCACTGTTCCCACCACGGTTCCACTCTCCCCACTTTCTCCACGGCCCCAACCACTGTCCCACTGTCCCCACTGTCCCACTGTCCCCGCCGCTGTCCCACTGAGCTGTCCCACTGTTCCCACCACCGTCCCCACCACTGTCCCCACTGTACCTCTGTCCCATTATCCCACCGCCGTCCTCGCCACCGCCCTCACCACTGTCCCCATCACCACTGCACCCTCCACTGCCCCACTGTTTCCACAACATTCCCACTGTCCCCACACCACTGTCCCCACCACCACCGTCCCCACTACTGTCCCACTGCCCCCGCTGTTCCCACCATTGTCCCCGCTGTCCCCACCAGTGCCCCCACCAGTGTCTCACTGTCCCCACTCTCCCCACCATTGTCCCACCACGGTCCCACTCTCCCCCATATCCCCAGGGTCCCCACCTTTGTCCCACTGCCCCCACTGTACCCACCACTGTCCAACTGTCCCCGCCGCTGTCCCACTGTGCTGTCCCACCGTCCCCACTGTCTCCATCACTGTCCCCACTGTCCCCACCACTTTCCCCACTGTACTACTGTCCCACCACTGTCCTCACCACCGCCTTCACCACTGTCCCCACCACTACCGTCCCCACCACTGTCTCACTGTCCGCACCACTGTCCCGTTGTCCCCTCACCACTGTCCCCACCACCACCGTCCCCACCACTGTCCGCACCACTGTCTCACTGTCCCCGCACCACTGTCCCCACCACCACCGTTCCCACCACTGTCCCAGCATCCCCACCACTGTCCAACTGTCCTGTCCCGAGGAGCGGGAATCGTTTGCCGGCGGCGAGGGGGGGGGGTTCGAACCAGTAGTGACCCCCATCCCGGTTTTCGAGGGGAGGGCCCGGGGGGGGTCGAGCCGGTAGTGACCCCCCCGGTTTTCGAGGGGGGAGGGGAGGGTGGTTCGAATAAGTAGTACCCCCCCCTCCTTTTTCTTGATGGACTGGGGGGGGGGAGGGGTTCGAACCGGTAGTAACCCCCAGTTTTCGAGGGGTGGGGTGGGTGGGTGGGAACCTCCAGTGACCCTCCCCCGGTTTTCTGCCAGCAGCGGTAGAACACGCTCTTCCCGATATTCGAAACCTAAACCTATACTGGTGTTTGTCCATGTGGCTGTTGCAATTTATGTTGCTTAGCTGCTTGACATTACTTGTGTTGTTGATGCTGTTGTTGATGGTGTAATCGTTGTAGTTGTTGTTTTCGTCTTCGTTGTTGTCGTCGCTGTTGTTGTCATGCTATCATTTTTCTCTTCATTATGTGAATGAGGCAATTGTTATTGATGTTGCCACCGCTCCTGATATCGTTGTTAATGTCGTCTTTGCTTTACATGCGAGTGTATTGTGTTATTGTTGTTATTGTGTTATTGTTGTTGTATATGAGATGTTGTTGTCATTCATGTTGCCATTATGTTGTTAATGCGTGCATTGCAGATGCCGTCCTTCCTACTCATGTGGTTGCTCTGTTCTTGTGATTCGCGTCGTTGTTTTCATCGTTGTGCTTGCTGTCGTTGTGGTTGTCCGGGCAGCTGCTGCTCTTGTTTGTCATTGTTCTGTTGATGTCGCCCTTATCGTTCATGTGGTCTCGTTCAAGTTGTGATTCTTGTCGCTCTGCCGGCTCTGTGGGCCAGCTGTGCCTCAGGCGCCCTGGCCCTGGAAAAATGACGACCCTCGCGAGGATGGTGTCCCCTCTGGAGGGGCTGGAGACCTCTGCCGGCGCCTTGGGCCAGTTGTGCCTCAGGCGGCCTGGCCCTCGAGAGGTGGCGACCATCACGAGGATGGTGCCCCTCAGGAGGGGCTGGAGACCTCTGCCGGCTCCGTGGGCCAGTGCCAGTTCTTGGCATCGCTCGGACGTGTGTATTTTTCCTTCGGCGAGGACCATCGAGGAGCATCCTTGATGATTTGGCGAAAAACCGCGCACGAAACCGAAAAAAGCACAGGGAATGGACGTCCGAGCGATGCCCAGTTGTGCAAACGGGGTTCAGCCAGGGCACCGGATCCTGCAGGATCCTGTGAAGACCCCCTCTGGCTGACCTGGGTTAGCGAGCCGCTCATGGTCGCGAGGCGGCCGCGCATATTGGCTGACCCGGGTTTGCGAAGCCCTGCGTGTCAGTTTCGTTTTCTTGTACTGCAGTTTTTTGGTTTTCTGCTCACCCGGGTCTGATTGACCCGGGTCAGCAGATCCCCGATGTGGGCAAGTTGTGCCTCAGGCGCCTGGCCTTCGAAAAGTCGCGACCCTCACAAGCATGGTGCCCCGTTGATCTGGGGGGGGCGGTAACCTCTGCCAGCTCTGTGGGCCAGTTGTGCCTCAGGCGCCCTGGCTTTCGAGAAGTGGCGATCCTCACAAGAATGGGGCCCCATCTGGAGGGGCCCGAGATCTCTGCCGGCTCTGGGCCAGTTGTGCCTCAGGCGCCCGGGCCCCTGAAAAGTGGCGACCCTCACAAGCATGGTGCCCCTTCTGGAGGGGCCCGAGACTTGCTGGCTTGGGCGAGGGCTGGGGGGGAGAGTTCGGCGTGGAGTGAAATCCAGATTTGGGGTCTACGTTGCGCTAATTAGAAAACCGCTTGGCTCTTCGAACATGTCGTGGTAGGCCTACAAGGATGCCGGGAGACGGTGGGCAACAGCTCGATTATCTGACGACGCGAGCATTATCTGGCTCTGCGAACATGTCGTGGTATGCCGCCAGGAATGCCGGGAAGGTGGGCCACGACGCGAGCATGTATGTCAAGCAGTGGCGAAGCGTCTAGGCTCGCCCATAGGCTCACAAACAATGCCCTAATAACCATTTGTGGCTTGCACGAAATGTTATTGGGACATTTCTGGCCGAGAAAGTTTTGTGTTGACACATCGGCTTTGTGTTCCAATTGTGTTTTCGTCTTATCAGAACATTTCTGGGTTCCAAGGTCGCGTCGTGGTGTCTTGGGTTGGTCAGCCTCCGGCGTGGCGGTGGATCGGACCCAGGCCCCCCGCTGACCTCTCATGGCGGCCTCGCCCATGACCATGAATGTATGTGTGCTGGAGCTCGCGGAGAAAAAAACATGCCGTGGTAGGCCTAAGGGAGTGCCCGCACGGTCGGTCCCAGCTCAAGTCGGCTACACGTAACAGTGACCCTTCGCAGGAGTGACCTTCTGTGCGGGCCCACCGGGCCCCCCCCGATCACTGAGCGCCATGCGACAGCAGCGGCCTGCGCGCTTGGGCTTGGCCCCCTCGAGCCCCCCAGAAGCCGCGCACCAGAGGTCCCTCTTGACCAGGGCCTTGGCATCGCTCGGACGTGTGCATTTTTCCTTCGGCGAGGACCATCGAGGAGCATCCTGGATGATTTGGCGAAAACAACCGCGCACGAAACCGACAAAAAGCGCACAGGGAGTGGACGTCCGAGCGACGGCGAGGGGCCACTCTTGCGTCTGACCGCTCGAGTCTGGGCACGGGGGCGCGCGCCCCCTGTGCCAGGAGCTCCCCGCGGCCGAGGGCCGGCCGCAGGCGGCCGCCCCCCGGCCCCCCCCGGCGGCCCCGCGGGTGCTGGCGGCCGGGGGCGCCTCGATCGGGGAGGTGGCGGGCCGGGGCCGCGAGGCCCGTGGCGCGCCCGCGTCGGAGGGCTACAGGAGCTCTCCAGACTCTCAGGCCGCCGAGACGGGGTCGGAGTGGGGGTCGGAGGAGCGCGCCGCATCGCCGATGCATCGGCGGTGCGGCCCGACGCGGAGCCCGAATTGCTTCACGCCGACGTCGCCGATGCATCGCCGACGGCGGCGATGCGTTGATGCGGCGCGATGCGGCGCGATCCTACGACCCAATCTACTCCGACCCCATCTAGGATCTAGGAGTCTTCCAATCTCACGGAGAGGATAGCAGGTCCTTTAATTTGTCCGCGTCGCGCACCTGCTGTCGCTACACCAAAGACTGAGACCCCAAATCGCCCCTTCCCGCGCCAACCCAAGTAACCACAAAAACCAGCAGGGCAGTGAACCATGAGGCTAGAGCTTCACTTACTGCGACAGACATGTGATTCATCCACATTAGCAAAGTAGACCTACAGACCGACCATGCACGCCAAGCCAGGAAATCATCTTGGGTGCGCGGGCCTCAGGGTCTGCAGGACCCAGGGATCCGACTCCCCAAAAACATTGGAGCAGGCCCGGCTGTTTTCAGCCTCTGGGGCCCCTCGCCGGGCCTCTGGTGCGTTATATAAGAAAAGGCTCAGGACGAAAAACCGGTCCAAGAGAAATTGTCTTGGCATCGCTCGGACGTGTAATTGTTTCTTCGGCGAGGGCCACCGGGGAACATCTTGGACCAGCTTACGAACAAATGCGCGCGCGAGATCGAACATTGCACGGGGAATGGACGTCCGAGTGATGGCGAGGTGGCGCGCCCGCATCGGAGGGATACATGATCTCAGGGGAGGACCCAGAGATCCGACGCTCCCAAAACAATGGAGCGGGCTCGGCTGTTTTCAGCCTCTGGGGGCCCTTACTGCGTCAAAAAACAACTCAGGACGGAAAACCGGTCTTAGGGAAGTGGTCCAGACCTCCGGGGCCAACGCATCTCAGGGGTCTTGGCATCCCTCGGACGTGTGTGTTACCTAACAGCGAGGACTGATAGGTTTCTAGTAGGGTCAAAAGAGAGCATCATGACTCCCCAGGGGGGTCCGTGCAGGATCCGGGGGGATGCCGGGGAATTCGTTTTAAGCAAACAGTGGTCTTCGAGTTCCCAGAACTCCATTTCTGGGCATGACTTTGAATGCCCTGAGCCAGCTGTGGGCCACTTCGTGTTCTTCGTGTTCCCAGAACACCATTCCTGGGCCACATTTTGATGCCCGGAGCAGGCTGTAGGCCACTTCGTGTTCTTCGTGTTCCCAGAACACCATTCCCGGGCCACATTTTGATTGCCCGGAGCCAACTGTAGGCCACTTCGTGTTCTTCGTGCTCCCAGAACACCATTCCTGGGCCACATTTTGAATGCCCGGAGCCAACTGTAGGCCACTTCGTGTTCTTCGTGTTCCCAGAACACCACTCCTGTACCACATTTTGCTTGCCCGATGTCCCCATTCGAAAGCAATGATTCGTTCGAAGCAAAATCCTTTGATAGCGGTGTCTCGTTCGGAGATAAATAAGCTACTTGATAGCAGTGTCTCGTTTGTATTATTACTGCTACTGGCCCTTCTACTGCTACTCCTATTGGCATTACTGCAACTGCTGGCATTGCCACTGCGACTGCGACTGGGACTGCCGTTGCCACTGCGACTGCCATTGCGAATGCGATTGCGACTCCGAGTACCCCAGAAGTCTACAAAAGGAATCCTACATGAATCTAAAGGGGAATGCTTCCAGATATGCTCATACGCATCGCTGTTGGGTTGCTTTGCCGGGATAATAGTACAGAGGAGAGAATAACAAACAAAATCAACTACGATTTTTTTCGGACCCAGATCTGGAAGCAGACCGAGTTCGGGCATCTAGATACTTGAGACTCGCGCTTCTGATGATGTTATTCCGATCGCTGTATCAAACAGTTCTATAGCGCATCTTCAGTTCGAGTTATATCAAGAAAGTCGTCCGCATCTCAGGAAACTTAGCAGAGTACGAACAGTTTTTTGGGACCCAGCTCTGGTAGCAGACCGAGTTCGGGCATCTAGATACTCGAGACTAGCGCTTCTTACGATTATCTTTCGATTGATGTGCCAAACAGCTCTGTGGCTCACCTGCAGCTCGAGTGACATCAAGAAACTCATCATTATCTCAAACAAAAATTGCAGAGTAGGAATAGTGTTTCGGACCCAGCTCTGGTAGCAGACCGAGTTCGGGCATCCAGATACTCGAAACTAGCGCTTCTGATGGGCGCTTCTGACGATTGTCTTCCGATCGCTGTGCCGAACAGCTCTGTAGCTTATCTGTAGCTCGAGTTAGATCAAGAAAGTCATCATCACCCCTTACAGAATAGAGTAGTACGTATAGTTTATCAGATTCAGCTTTGGAAGCAGACCGAGTTCGGGCATGTAGATACTTGAGACTAGCGCTTCTGATGTTTCTCTTTCAGAACACCATTCCCCGGCCACATTTTGAATGCCCGGAGCCAACTGTAGGCCACTTCGTGTTCTTCGTGTTCCCAGAACACCATTCCTGGGCATGATTTTGAATGCCCGGAGCCAACTATAGGCCACTTCGTGTTTTTCGAGTTCCCAGAACTCCATTCCCGGGCCACATGTTGAATGCTGAGGCAGGCTGATGCTGAGGCTGGGGCAGGCTGAGGCTGAGGCCGAGGCTGAAGGCAGACTGAAACTGAGGCTGAGGCTGAGGCAGGCTGAGGCTGAGGCTGAGGCAGGCTGATGCTGAGGCAGGCTGAGGCTGAGGCTGAGGCTGATGATGCAGGCTGAGGCTGAGGCAGGCTGGGGCTGAGGCAGGCTGAGGCTGAGGCTGAGGCTGATGCAGGCTGAGGCTGAGGCAGCCTGAGGCCGAGGCTGAGGCAGACTGAGGCTGAGGCTGAGGCAGGCTGAGGCTGAGGCTGAGGCTGATGCAGGCTGAGGCTGAGGCAGGCTGAGGCTGAGGCCGAGGCTGAAGGCAGACTGAGGCTGAGGCTGAAGCAGGCTGAGGCTGAGGCTGAGGCTGAGGCTGAGGCTGAGGCTAAGGCAGGCTGATGCTGAGGCAGGCTGAGGCTGAGGCTGAGGCTCATGAAGGGTGAGGCTGAGGCAGGCTGAGGCTGAGGCCGAGGCTGAAGGCAGACTGATGCTGAGGCTGAAGCAGGCTGAGGCTGAGGCTGAGGCAGACTGAGGCTGAGGCAGGCTGAGGCTGAGGCTCTGACTGTGACTGCCGTTGCCACTGCGACCGTCGTCGCGAATGCGACTACGACTGCGAGAACAGCAGAATTCTACAACTGGCTTCTCATCTGAATCTTAAGGGGAATGCTTCCAGATATGCTCCTACACATCGCTGTTAGGTTGCTTTGCCGGGATAGTTTTTCCTCGGCGAGGACCATCGAGGAGCATCTTGGATGATCTTGCGTAACACATGCACGCACGGAATCGAAACATGCACGGGGAATCCACGTCCGAACGATGGCGACGGGAGGAGGAGGAGGAGGCTCTTTATGTTCTTCGGGTTTTTACGAAGGAGGGCTTCCCCCTTCCCCCCTCCCCTTGGAACCCCCGAGGCCGGGTCCCCCATAGGACCCTCCTCCTCCTCTTCCTCCTCCTCCTCCTCCTCCTCTTCCTCCTGCTGTTCCTCCTCCTCCTCCTCCTGCTGTTCCAATGTGTTTTGATGAGGTGCCGCCACCGACCCCGTCACTTCTTCGTGCAGTCGCCAAGAAGCTTCGTCACTTAGAGCCGGGTCTAGACGGCATTCCCTACTCGGCGTGGAGCTCATCATCGCTTGGTCTCTCGGTGCTCTCAGAGGCCATGATGTGGATTCTCTCTGGGCAGGCGTTGTTCAAGTCATCCAACGATACGCTCCAAGTGTGGCTTCCGGAAGGCGATGACCCTGCGGACAGTGTGGCCGCAGGATGCACTCGGTCACCGTCCTCGGACAGAGTGCTTGGACTGCGCAATACAGACATTAGATCATTACGGCAACGATCAATGCACGCTTCAGTGTCCTTCTCAAAACTTGGGCCCCTCGCTCTCAGCGAGGTTTTATCCCACAGAGGAACTTTGGACTGAACATTCTGGAGCTCGACACGGTCAGCAGGGTCTACTCAGATGTGCCGTCAGGTGAATCCAATGTCCCAGTTTTGATTGCATTTGACTATGGAGCTGTTTTTTCCCAGTCTCTCTCAGGAGTTCATGTATGTGGTGCTCAACGAGATGCAGGTGCCGCGAGCCTTCCTGTCCATCATCGACCAGCTGTACTTAGAGCTCGAGGCTTTTGCAATGGTCCGCAATACTCCTACCCATGCATGGTGGGTTACGTCTGGCATTGTCCAGGGCTGCTCATTGAGCGCCTCACTCTACGCTGCGGCCACTGCCCCATTTCTGGTCGATCTCCATCGCCAGCTTGAGACACCGAGGACAGGTATTGCTCGTGCTTGTGCCGACGACATTGGTGCCGCCATCAGAGACACTCTCAGCCTGTCCATCTTAGCGGACATCATGCTTCTTGCCGAAAGATTTGCCACGCTGTCCTTGAGGATCGACAAATGCAACCTCGTCCCGCTGCACAAGCCTTTCTCGGAAAATGTGGCATCAGAGGTTCGCTCGCTGCTCTGTGCACACGTTCCTTTCTTCAATCGCATCAACATTGTCGAGTCCTTCAAGTACCTTGGCCTTATTCTTGGCCCTGCTGCCGATGCCGACTCGTGCTGGACTTCTCCTGCGATGAAGGTTCATGAAAGATCCAAGTTGGTCGGCCACAGCCACCTTCCCGCGTCTCGCTTGCCAGTTCACCACAACACCTGCATCGCCACAGTGCTGTCGTATGTTGCCCAATTCCGTCTGATGCCGCGGTGGCTAGTGCAGAGCGAACTTGTGGCCTTATCACGTTCTTTTCGTTTACCCTTGGGTACTTTCTCGATGTCGGCATGGCTCCAGTTGCGCTCGGCGGGTGGGCCGGCGATTAACTCATGGCTGGCGATGAGCACTGGGTCCCTTCTTCGTACTGCGTACCGTACCCTGCCTGAG